TTTCGTCGCTTGGCAACGACGTTGTAAAACAAGCCCCCCCATCGGTGTTTGCCATCGGGATTGGGTTTTCGTCGCTTGGCAAAGACGTTGTACAACAATCCAATTCACTTCGTGAACTCGGCAATCAGGTTACCGTTTTTATTTTTTTACCTCTTTTTCTGTTTGGCGGCAACCATGAATGGTGGTCGATTGGATCATGTTGTGCGGGGTGGAGAACCCTCACTCCGCGCAAGGGGGATGATCGCACCACGTTGTGTTAAANCGCCGAATATCTCTCGGCGCTTCGCGCTTGGTGATGTGGGAGCCTGGTCCGGTGAGAACCCGGCGTGCTCCGTCCCGGCTTTGTAGGGATGCGAGGTCAACGGTCTAACGACTACGGCATGCACGACTATTAGTACACCCCCACCCCCCCCGTCGCCCCTGCTTCCCACACAAAGCCCCGACAGCGACTGCTACTCCCTCAGCCACCACCACCATCGTCACCACCGCCGGTGCTGCAGGCCGTCACCCCGCCTACCGCTACAACGTGCGGGCCTCCCGGCTCCGCCGCAGCCGCTGAGGGGGACGCTCAGGCCGGGCAGACTCTCCAATCCCCGCAGGCGGTCGCCCACCTGAAGTGGCAGGCCCTGCAAGGGACGGGGTCGGCATCTGATGAGCCCTGGTTGGTGGCGGGCAGCGGGGAGGTGCTCCGACAAGTCGGGCAACAACAAGGCGGCTCGTCGTCGATGTTGCGGGCTGGCGTAGCAACGGGCCAAGGCATGAGGGGACCGGTTACGGCTATTCGGAAGGGAGGGTTCCGGGGTGTGGGGCAGCGGCCGCACCCTCATGACCGGCCGCAGGCGAGTTTCTACGTCATAGACGTACGTAGCATGCGGGTGGTAAGTGCCGCGTGGAAACCTTGTGCTATGAAGCGTTTGATCAGTTGCGGACAGATGGCGGTGCTGGGTAGAGTGATCGGAACTTCAATTTTTGTGAAGAAAACATCAACAACAACAACAACAACAACAACAGCAACAACACGCATCCCGTGCAGTACGGTCAGCGTTCGAACCTACACTCGCTCCTTGTTGGGGGGGTTACCTGTGGTGGTCGTGCATTATTTCCGGAGTATTGTTGAGAGGGCCCCGTCTGTGGACGGGTCTTATTCTCTGTGGGTGGAACCGGGGAAGATGAACATGAAGTCGAGCTCTGGTGAGGGTAGCAGTCCGCGTGTAGAAGAGGCACATTCAGAGGGGAACGGAGTAGGAAGACCGTTCACCAGAGAGGCGTTTTGAGCAAGACATGATGGGGGTGTGGCGAAGATCCTGGACTACGAGCTCGATGAAGAGACTTTTCGATGGATTTAGCAGGTAGTAAGGCGTTCCTCGGTGGTTGGCACCCTGATGGTGAAGTTTGTGTGGGAGACAAGAAAAGTGCCTTGCTTGACAGGACATAGAAAGTCTCACAGGCAAGGCTGAATTTTTTCGCTCTTTCGTGAAGTACACTCCGCTGCGCACCCTGACGCTTGCCCCCCGTTTTACGTTTCATCTGCCGTAGGTCAAGCTCTCTCTCTCTCTCTCTCTCTCTCTCTCTCTCTCTCTCTCTCTCT